GGGGTCACTCCCTCCTCTTGTGCAAGGTTAGCATTAGTAGTAGATGGTGAAAAGCTCCTCTTTAAAGTGTCTCTGTCCCTATAAGGTGCAGATTACACTAAGAGCACCCCATAAAAATGAAATTTTACTTACTTTTACAGTGCCCTGTGTTCTAAGCTAACCATACACTATACAATCTGATTGTACTATATCCTTTAAATTTACCATCAACTATGTAGTACAAGGACCCATCTGATTTGATACTAATTGAATGGGTTGTTTGAATTTATCCTCATATTTCAAAGTTTTAGTAACTCAAAGGAAATTACGGTATGCAGAATTTGTGCATAGAGTATGGCCAGCCTTACAAATTCATGTAGTAGTAGATCTACAGCCACCGCAGCTATCCAGCACCTCTGGGGTGTGTGATGAATACCTGCTCCTTCATCAAACACTGTGGTTCCTCTCATTATTATTATTATTATACAGGATTTATATAGCGCCAACAGTTTGCTCAGCGCTTTACAATATAACGGGAGACAATACAGCAACAGTTCAATACAAGAGGAATAGGAGGTTACAATCTAGGAGATCTTGTTTATATGTTCTATAGTTAGGTAGGAGTAGATAGCAGAAGCAGCAGGTATTCGACACAATTGTTTTCTATGTATCCCTAGTCCACGCCACAATGCTGATTTATTGTGCTATGCAGAAAAATGCAACGTCTGCACTTTTCTGCGCTGCACTGGATGGCACCTCATGTCACCACACAGCAGCGCAACACACCAGACTGCTGTGCAGTGACATGAATGAAGTGTCATTGAGTGCCACTTCAAATAAAGTTGACAATAAAAGAAATGATGCAGCACTGATACCTGCCAGAGGCAACACTGACCTAGCCTGCGTGGTAAAACACTGAGATTTGCCGTGTGCGCTTGTGTGAACATTCCCCAAATTAAATCGGAAACAGTTGGTTTGTCAGGGCCTTCACATACTCTAAAGGGGATGTCCTTCGGGTGACCCCCTGTACACACTAAATGCAGGAAAACTTAAATCAGGTGAATGTAGATGAAAATAAAAGAGAGCCTGTAGGGTTTGTTTAAATGCCCAACCATATTACAACTTTATTAAACTTTGGTCCTCATAGTTTACTTTTGCCCTTTTCACAGTGTAGTATGTTAGATGATGCTAAAAATAAAAGGAAACCAGCGTCATGCATATATTTTCCATTTGCTTGTGTATACTGACCTATTTGCCTGTAGAGATACTGTAGAGCCTGGTGGGTTTTGGAAACATACAAAGCGTATGACTTTAGCATCCGTCTACTGCATTTCTCTTATATGCAATTAGATAATCTCTAAATGTACCCACATAGACCTTTTTATTGTAGCTGGCTGTTCGTTCACATACTGATTGCTGAAAATTGAAAGTTTCATTGCTTTTGACCATAATTTATTTTTCCGGTTGTCTCCATGGCAGCATAGGAAAGGAAAAATTACAGTCAGTAAATTATTCAAGCTTTTATTTTTCTGGTGTCTCTATGGCAGCACATGGATGGGATATAACTCAAATAACACCATGGGCGGGTGAACTCAGATTATTTATTTATACAAGCTGAATGCACTTTGGCCAATATTCACCAAGGAATGTAAGGGAGGCTTCACCCTGTAACATGCAAAAGTATGCAAATGTCTATTTCAGATTCTCAATTGATGTTTTCAGGAGGCCCTTTGGTGAACACTGCCCAAGACTCCAAAATCTTGATCTTGAGTAGACACCTTCTTAGGTGGATTGAGCCCCTTAGTCTAATAGGAAAGCCTAAAAGGAGCTAGGTGATACTACTGGTGTAGGTATTCAAGACCGCAGCTCTTCACTTGTTGACCACAGTGGAAGTAATTAACAGATGATCTGGCTTCCTAAAAGCCCAAGACTCCAAAAGATCTTGAATGGACTGAGTAGACACCTTCTTAGGTGGATTGAGCCCCTTAGTCTAATAGGAAAGCCTAGATGAGCTAGGTGATACTGCTGGAATAGGAATTCAAGACCGCAGCTCTTCACTTGTTGACCACAGTGGAAGTAATTAACAGATGATCTGTCTTCCTAAAAGCCATGATGTAAGCTTTTAGGACCTATGGCAATGTGTAAGATTAGCTAAGAAAAAAAAACTTGACAAATGGTCTTTAAAAGAGAAGTATAGATCATGGAAGTACTCACATCTGACTGAGCCCGATTGGGACTAGGATATTAAACACAGTACCGACTTGTCAGACTGCACTTCTATTGAACTTGATCGCTTAGGCAGTGAGCACCCCAACCTGGCACATGAAGTAGTCGTAGTTCAAGAGATCTACTAAAGCAGAAGGCAGTTGGAAAGGTTGAAGATATTTCTCCACCACCACACACTCTTTCATAAAAGATGTGATCCATAAAGGAATGTGTCAAAGACAAACTGTTTTATTGATTAAGTATTACAAACCTTAAAGGACAGAGATGGTGGAAACCAAAGTAAAAATAGAACACGGTGTCAGGACTTTGTTACTGATCTTATTGAGCTTGATGGAGAGGACAGAAACTGAAAATGAAGGCATGGGTTGGAGAAAGTCATTGCTTTGCTTAAATCACTTTCCCATCTAAGGGAGTGAAGAATGGAGAGGAGGAGATATTGATAAGCTAGCAGAATATTAATGTCACCTGCCAAAAGGAGAAGGACTTGTGTCAATAGGCAAATGTTAGTTAGCCTTTTTAGATCAATTTGAAAAGCTTCTGCAATAATTTAGAATACAACAGGTGCAGTTGAACAGCAGTTGACCCTCCTTTGACCTACATTTCACCCTTTTCCACCTTATACAAGGAGAGAAATAGTTCTGATGTGAACAAAAGCCATCAATTTGGCCCAAAAATTTTCCAGATAATATTCTTTGAATAGGATGGACACCTGTCATTAAGAGGGTCACCTGCGCTAAAACCTCCCCACCAATCAAAAAAGGAAAAAGACTTTGTTGAAGGCACATTGTTAACTCTAGATCAGAGGGGATGACTTCAAAAGATAGTTCACATTTACCAAAAAGCTTCCCAAGCAGATAAATGGGTGTCTTTAGATAAAAACAAATTGTTCAGGTCTGACCAAAGTTGAATAATGTCCTTGCTATAGGTGTAGGCCATTTACATACCTCCTGCAGACTGACTGCAAAACTCTCAGGGTGTTGCTATGTGAGGCCTAGTCATTATTGCTCACCTCCACCATCACAGGAGCTAGCTCTTAGACACTGAATTCAGAGATACTGCATCAGGGTAGAGAAAGATCATGTGAGGGGGGGGCTTTGATTCAGAGAAAAAGCTCACTCCTGTGATGGTGGAGGTGAGCGGTAATGACTAGGCCTCACTGAGCAACATCCTGGAAGTATTCTAGTCAGGCTTCATGACGTAGATAAATGGCCTCCACCTATAGCAAAAGGTATTATTCAACTACTAGTCAGAGACACACAGTTTGTTATTATCATAAAAAATGTTTAATAAAAAATAAAGTAGGTGTTGTACTCACAAACGACAATATAGTCAAGGCACATCATAAAAGAACAGCTGGATCAACACCGCGCTGAGTAACAGTCCGCAATAGGGAGTTTAGACATCCAAAAGGTTGACGCGTTTCGAGGACTTGCCTCTTCGAAGAGGCAAGTCCTCGAAACGCGTCAGCCTTTTGGATGTCTAAACTCCCTATTGCGGACTGTTACTCAGCGCGGTGTGTTGATCCAGCTGTTCTTTTATGATGTGCCTTGACTATATTGTCGTTTGTGAGTACAACACCTACTTTATTTTTTATTAAACATTTTTTATGGTAATGCACTAGGCCTGTGCGCCCTCTTTTTGTTCTTTCCCATTCAGTATATTTGGATTCCCCGGTCCATTTGAGGGCAGCAAGGTGTGCATGTTCCAGGACATTCTTAATGTGGTTGTAGCATCGAGTCCATCCCCAAGCGCAGGAGCATTTGTGTTTGCTGGTAGTTTGTTATTATCAACAGACACCCCTTATCTGCATAGGCAGGTTTCTGCTAAAGGTGAATTAACAGGAGTTTTGCAGAATGGATGAAAATGGGGAAAAAAAGTACAGGAGCACCTCAAGAAAAAAACTCGTAATTAAAAGACAAAAAGGTCTTATAGGTTTATAACAGTCAAGTGAAAGCTTGAACAGTCCATTAGATACAGTAGAAGTGGAGCAAGGATGGGGATGGAAATTCCAGAGTTTGAACCGTGAAATCGAATCAACATTGGCAGCTCCTACCTGCCTTTCTGTAGTGGTTTCTAAATAGAAAAATTCAGCCTGGAGGGGTTGGTGCAACAGTAGGACAAACACTAGAAAACCAGTCGGCCAGTGAAAGGGATACAAGGACCACCATTACTGACCTCTCCATTCTACAATGACTCAGAAAGCACCGAGTCATAATTTATTAACTAATTTATATATTTATTACAGGGATGTATACAGTGCTGGCAATTTATGCAGCACTTCACATACTGTACATTCACATCAGTCCCTGCTGTCAAGAAGCATACAATCTCACAGGTCCCTCTCTCACATGTATATGTACATACAGTTGTGTTCAAAATAATAGCAGTCAGACATCACTAACCTGATCAATCACTGTTTTTGGTAGAAATGATATTTCTACATGGCAAATAATTTACTAGCAGGTGTAGTAGAGTAATTGAAATCCAACAGACCCAACAGTCATGACATGCATGCTGCTGATTCAGTGTAATTGAATCACTAATTGAAAGGGGCATGTTCAAACTAATAGCAGTGTGGAGTTCTATTAGTGAGGTCATTCATTCTTTGAAAAACAGGTGGCAATTATTGCCCTTATTTAAGGAAGGAAGGCAGCAAATGTTGTACATGCTGGTTACAGTGCATTTCTCTGAAATTCTGAGGAAAATGGGTCATTCCAGACATTGTTCAGAAGAACAGTGTACCTTGATTAAAAAGTTGATTGGAGAGGGGGAAAACATATAAAGAAGTGCAGAAAATGATAGGCTGCTCAGCTAAAATGATCGCAAATGCTTTAAAATGGCAACCAAAACCTGAAAGACGTGGAAGAAAGCGATAAACTACCATTCGAATGGATAGAAGAATAGCCAAAATGACAAGGACTCAGCCAACAATGAGCTCCAGGAAGATCAAAGAAGGTCTAAAGTTACCTGTGAGTACTGTTACAATTAGAAGACGCCTATGTGAAGCCAAGCTATCTGCAAGAAGCCCCCGCAAAGTCCCACTGTTGAAAAAAAGACATGCTGAAGAGGTTACAATTTGCCAAAGAGCACATTGACTGGCCTAAAGAGAAATGGCGCAACATTTTGTGGACTGATGAAAGTAAGATTGTTCTTTTTGGGTCTAGTGGCCGGAGACAGTTGGTCAGACAACCCCCAAACACTGAATTCAAGCCACAGTACACTGTGAAGACAATGAAGCATGGTTGCACAAGCATCATGATATGGGGATGTTTCTCATACTACGGTGTTGGGCCTATTTATCGCATACCAGGGATCATGGATCAGTTTGAATACATCAGAATACTTGAAGAGGTCAATCTGCCTTATGCTGAAGAGGAAATGCCCTTGAAATGGGTGTTCCAACAAGACAACGACCCCAAACACACCAGTAAACATGCAACATCTTGGTTTCAGACCAACAAGATTGACGTTATGGAGTGGCCAGGCCAATCCCCGGATCTTAATCCAATAGAAAACTTGTGGGGTGACATCAAAAATGCAGTTTCTGAGGCAAAACCAAGAAATAGAGAAGAACTGTGGAATGTAGTCCAATCACCCTGGGCTGGAATACCTGTTCACAGGTGTCAGAAGTTGGTTGACTCCATGCAACACAGATGTACAGCAGTTCTCAGAAACAGTGCTTATACAAAAAATATTAATTGATTCAAAGGAAAGCAAAATCTTCAAACATTTTTCAGTTTATATAGTGAATGTTTGAGTTTGTAAAGAAGAATACAAACACTGCTATTTTTTTGAACAGTCTAATATTCACTTTTCTTCAATTTTTTTAGAGGAACAACACAAATTTGATATATTTTTCTTCATGTTTTGATTTGGAATAGAATGTGTAGTGTTCCCAATGCATTTGTGTGTATGGAAATAAAAGCTATTAGAAGGATTTTGAGCTTGATTTACTTTTTTCAACACACTGCTATTATTTTAAACACAACTGTACATCCAAGGGCTGAGTAGACAGCAGCCAATAAAACTACCAGCATGTGTTTGGAGTGCAAGAGGAAACCAAAATGCCTGAAGGAAATCCATGCAGGCACAAAAAGAATATACAAACAGCATGCAGATAGTGCCCTGCCTGGGAATCTGCCCCTCCTCTAGATAAGGTTTATTTAGAACTACTGCTACAGGGCAGCAGGGCTGTGCAAAATTATATATATATATATATATGAACACACATATAAACACACACAAACTTTGCATTTCTGGGTAGAGAGCGCATGCACACCGCCTTACCATTGGCGGCTAGGCATGTCAGTCACTGGGTCCCGGCTGGAGATTCCCCGCTGGCATCCAACGATTACCATGCAAAGCTGACGGGAGAGACCTGTATGTAAACAACACAGGTCTCTCTCCTGCCAGCAAGGACATGCTGTTTTGTTTTTCTCTGTATGCTATAAGTCACTGATTACCACCATTACTAGTATAAAAAAAAAATAAATTCCAGTATATATACCGCTATTTGTAGATGCTATAACTTTCAAGTAAATCAATCAATTTACACGTATTTGGATTTTTTTTTGTAGCAAAGACATGTAGCAGAATACATTTATGATGAAATTAGATTTTTTACTGGACATGTTTAACCACTAGCCTACAGGGCACTTATACCCCCTTCCTGCCCAGGCCAATTTCCAGCTTTCAGCGCTGTCGCACTTTGAATGATAATTGCGCGGTCATGCAACACTGTACCCATATGACATTTTTATCATTTTTTTGTGACAGAGCTTTATTTTGAAAAAAAAAAAAGTTTTTTCTTCGTTTTTGTTATAAAATTTTGTAAATAAGTGATTTTTCTCCTTCACCAATGTGCGCTAATGAGGCTCCAGTGATGGGCACTAATAGGCTGCACAGATGAGCACTGATAGGTGGCACTGATAAGGAGGCACTGGTGGGCATTGACAGGCATCACTGATGGACACTGAAAGGCAGCACTCATATATGGCACTGATAGGTGGCACTGGTCAGCGGCACTGATAGGCAGCACTGACTGGCATTGATAGGTGGCACTGATAGGTGACACTGAAAGGCAGCTCAGATGGGCACTGATATGTGGCATTGATGTGCACTGGTAGGCACTGAAATGTGGCACTGATGGGCACTGGCAGGTGGCATTGATGGACACTGACAGGTGGCACTGCTGGTGCTACACAGATCATCAGTTCCCTGATGATCAGTGTACATGTCTCCTCTGAGGGATGCAGATTACCATCTCTCTTCTCGAGCTGTCAGCGTGACAGCTCGTGAAGAGAGAAATGCCGATAACTGGCATTTCCTTATTTACATGCGATCAGCTGTGATTGGACACAGCTGATCACATGACCGAGCCGACATCTTCGAGGGACACAGCGCACCCCCGATCGCCATAAACGCTCCCGGAGCCGCGTATGCGCGGTTAGAATGGGAGGACATTATATGACGTCCTCCCAGAACGAGAGAACCGCCTTGAGCCCGTCATTATACTATAGGGCGGGCAGGAGGCGGTTAATAGCAAAAAGTCAAAAAAATTTTTTTTTTCAAAATTGGTCAGGTTTTTTTCTGTTTAAAGTGCAAAAAAAAAAAAAAAAAAAAAAAAAAAGCAGAGGTGATCAAATACCACTGAAAGAAAGCTCTACTTGTGGGGAAAAAAAAGGACAAATTTCATTTATGTACAGTGTTGCAAGACTACGCATTTGACAGTTAAAGTAACAGCGCCATATCGCAAACAATGGCCTGGTTAGGAAGGGTGGTAAATCCTCTGGAGGACAGGTGGTTAAAGTGACACTAAACCTTTGTTGTTTTTTGTGTTTTTTTTTAAAACAACATGTCCAAAATGACCTGCTCTGTGCAGTGGATTTTCACAGAGCAGCCCCGATCCTCTTCTTTTCAGAGCCGAGCCAGGCTGCAGGTGTCCATAGACACACAGAGTGAGGCTTACAATCGAGCCAGCATGAGTGCCCCCCCCCCATCGCTATAGGGGTTCTAGACAGGGGGAGGAGACAGGACCACTGAAGAGGAAGAAACCATTGCACAGCGCAGGTAAGTATGGCATGTTTATTTAAAATAAAAAAAAAGTATAAAAAAAAAAATATGTACGTTTGCAATCACCAACTCCTTCCTGCTAACAGAGAATGTTCTCCTGCTTTTGCTGCATGGTCTCAGCACCTGACCAGCTGGACGCAAAAGGTGTGCCTTTACTCCCAGCTTGTCATCTCCATCACACTGCACAACAGATCGTTTACATGACTGTATCAAGTGACACCAATTTGGGATATCTGACCCCTAACAATCAGTTGCTTAGTTCTTCTCTACTCCAATATTGCTTGTAAATGTCTTTTTTGATAACCAGTACAAGGAAGGCGGACGGCCGTGCGAACATAAGAGTGATTTCAGCCTCTGAATGCGGTAAGTAAACACTGATCTTATCTATCAGACATCAGCGGATATGAGCAATGCTACTGGCTGTGACCTCCACAGCGTCCAGCACACACAGCATCTTCAAATTCACCCGAACTTTATTGATCGGCGACACACCCATCTGTCCATACGGTCCTGCTAGGGGATCACGTAGCACACGTACACGTTGACGCCCTCCTCTCTTCCTTGGTGCTGTTAGTACGAGTCTGCGGCCATATTTAAATAGGGCAAAATCCAATCTTTACTACTACTACGCTAGAATGATGGGAGTTTACCTGATCTTGGGCACGCTTCTCTTTCCTGAATATGCTTGTTAAACGTTACTTTGTATTGTTACAATTATCTAACTGATGTGTAGTAAGAGCTACATAACCCACACAGGGAGCTGAGAAAAACAAAGAAAACTGACTTACATTATCTTTTCAGCTGAACTAATAAGTTTACAATTTTTGTGAGCATTGTTGAAAAAAAACAGCTATAGATTTTTTTTTCCCCTCAAGAAAATGGAGTCTAAGAAAAGCTTTTAATGTGCAATGCAAATCAAATGTGTATATTGGCACCAGATATTATTATTATTATACAGTATTTATAAAGCGCCAACAGTTCGCCCAGCGCTGTACATTACAATGGGAGACAATACAAGAGACAGTACAATAACAATACAATTCAGTACACAAGGGGTTCGAGGGCCCTGCTCTTTGGAGCTTACAAACTAGGAGGGAGGGGATAGTGGTACAGGAGGAGATAGCTGTGGGGCATGGAGTGGTAGAAAGAGTGGAGGAGATCGGCAATTAGCAGGGGGTGGGTAGGCTTCCCTGAAGAGGTGGGTTTTCAGGGTGCGCCTAAAGGAGAGGAGAGTAGGTGATAGTCTGATGGATTGGGGTAGGGAGTTCCAGAGGATGGGTGATGCCCTGGAGAAGTCCTGGAGGCGGGCATGGGAGGAGAAAACCAGGAAGCTAGAGAGAAGGAGGTCTTGTGAGGAGCGGAGAGTACGTTTTGGGTGGTATTTGGATATTAGGTCAGTGATGTACAGTCAGGTCCATAAATATTGGGACATTGACACAATTCTAACATTTTTGGCTCTACACACCACCACAATGGATTTGAAATTAAACAAACAGGATGTGCTTTAACTGCAGACTGTCAGCTTTAATTTGAGGGTATTTACATCCAAATCAGGTGAACGGCGTAGGAATTACAACAGTTTCCATATGTGCCTCCCACTTGTTAAGGGACCAAAAGTAATGGGACAATTGGCTTCTCAGCTGTTCCATGGCCAGGTGTGTGTTAATCCCTCATTATCCCAATTACAATGAGCAGATAAAAGGTCCAGAGTTCATTTCAAGTGTGCTATTTGCATTTGGAATCTGTTGCTGTCAACTCTCAAGATGAGATCCAAAGAGCTGTCACTATCGGTGAAGCAAGCCATCATTAGGCTGAAAAAACAAAACAAACCCATCAGAGAGATAGCAAAAACATTAGGCGTGGTCAAAACAACTGTTTGGAACATTCTTAAAAAGAAGGAACGCACCGGTGAGCTCAGCAACACCAAAAGACCCGGAAGACCACGGAAAACAACTGTGGTGGATGACCGAAGAATTCTTTCCCTGGTGAAGAAAACACCCTTCACAACAGTTGGCCAGATCAAGAACACTCTCCAGGAGGTAGGTGTATGTGTGTCAAAGTCAACAATCAAGAGAAGACTTCACCAGAGTGAATACAGAAGGTTCACCACAAGATGTAAACCATTGGAGAGCCTCAAAAACAGGAAGGCCAGATTAGAGTTTGCCAAACGACATCTAAAAAAGCCTT